CTATCTTCAAAAGTGATCAACTATTAGCATATATTATGTTGGATCAATCAGTAAAGCATCCAAAAACCTCTAATACTTTGATTAAAGAGGTTGCTACTATTGGTGATCTGGAAGTTGCTGAGGTTTAGGCTGCTGAAGTGATTGCAGGGTTGAAATCTATTGAGGCGGAAGCCTCTAGTATTCTTGAAGAACATAGTTTAGAAGCCATTGTTGCAGAGACTCTGACTACTTAAGAAGCTTTGAATACTAGTATGATAGGTATTAATCTAAACTTTGTCTCTGAAGATGATTTTGATCGCTCCATCCTATCATACCCCAAATTTTTTCTACCCGTATATAACTTTCACTTGTATCTTTGTCCACTAACCGTTATTCCAAAAATCCAAAAATATGTTGCTTATTCTCTTTGTATGGATTCGGGGGGTCATAAAGTGAGTTGATTTAAGTTAGGTTTAATTACAGGTTCATTCAGATCTGTGGGTAGTATGGATTGGAGTTCATATAGTTTCGACTTAATTTGTTAGGAAGGCAAGGGTTTGTTTCAAGATCAAGGCCAGAATGTTCCTAATCTAAGTGGCGTGTATCTGAAAGGGTTTCTATGTGAACTTAGGTTGTTTATGGATCAAGTTATCAGGTTATGTGTAAGTCAGATACTTCATGGTTAAAGATTACCAATAATCAGATCATTTCCATTTGGGGTTCTGTGCAGTGCATCGAGGTTCAAGGCATGTTCAATGAGGTCTATATTATTGTCATAAGAGATTTCACCGGGAAGATTTTGGCTCCTCATGTTTCAAGTGGTAAAGTTCAAAATTCGGTATCATACCATTCTTTCTAAGTCCACATTATTATCCATTTTCCGCTCTAATTACCCATTTCATTTATCCAGACTTATCCAATTTCCACTTACACAATCAATTTCCCAAATTTCGTCCAAAAACTCACAATTCAAGTTCAATTCAAAGTCAAGAATTCAAATTCAGTTTCATTTCAAATCTCAATACAAATCAAGTTTAACAAACAAAGTTTTAGCATTCCATTTTAACTCGACTTAAGTCTCACGTTCAAGCATTTCATGTCAATTTAAATTTCATATTTAAGTGTTAATTTATTTCCATCCAAACCATGTTTCAAGTTCAAAACATTTTTAGTTAATTCACTTCAGGTTTCAAGTTCACAATCAACATTTCAAGTGTGTTTCAATTGCAAGACTCATATACTAATTGCCACAAAAAGATCTAGCTCATTACATTTACAACCAAGGTCCATTTCATTTACAAAAGATAAGCCCATTCACAAAAAAAAATTACATATCAAAATTGACAAACAAAAATAAAGAGAGGCAAGCAATATGAAGCTAAAACTACTATGATCCTTCACACACATCTGCTACAAAAGCAAACAACAAGTTCTGAATATTCAGTCGCCAAAACCATTACATAATACTATGCAAAATCTCATAAAATTTCAGCATTCACACTGCAATATAGTCTCCAGCCTACATTAAAACCTGCTCCAAAAGTAGTCACGCACCAAGCTACCCAAATATTGCTTCAAGCCGCCCCTACAAAAACAAAGAAAACTGCAAGACAGTCCCAAAAACAATATGACACGCTGCAAAAAAAGAGACCGTATCTCACACACTCTTCTCCTCCAGCTTGCAGCAAGAGAGACCCCACCTTCTAAGGCAACTTTAACACCACCAACAATACTTTACAAGGACACGTCACGCAACCATAATAAAAGGAGGCCATGTAAAAACCTCGAAAAGAAAATCAGAGGGACGATCCAAAATTTCTCCAACATCCTTGCAAAAACCTCCCCATGAACCGTACACTTAAAAACCTCGTTCTGCTAAAAGGTGCCTATACATCATAAATGAAAAGAGGGAAAAACACAGTGAAAGGAAAAAAATGGAAAAACCAATTTCAATTGGAAGATTGTCGATTCAAGACCTATCTTCCTACTCCATATAAGAACCGACCCTTCTGTAGCACCCTAAAATTTGCCCTTCTGTTTTAACCTGGACTGACTTTTGTTTCTCCACATTTTGCATTTCTGCATATCATAACATCTGTTCTTGAGGCATGGGATCAAGGTTTTTCTGTGGCCCAGGGCTCTTTTAGTGCAAGAGATTGAACAACAAGCATCAGGAGCTCCGACATTTATTTTTCCTGACGATCGAGTAGTCAATTTTATTTTATTTTTCAGGTTATTTTCAGCTCAGGAGGCAGCATTCAAGCTATCTCGAGCATTCTCATGGTTGCAGTATTCAAGAGCAAGTTTCAGAGGCTGAACAGGGCTTAGAACGAGTGAAAACAAACAAATATGTAGGTTTCCCTCCAAAAGACGCCAAAATTCAAATTTTCAAGGTGTTAATCGATTAACCCAAATGGTTAACCGATTAAACAAGTCAAAATCAGGTCAAATTTGAAAATTTGAAGGTGTTAATTGATTAATCCATATGGTTAACCGATTAACCAAGGCAAATTTCAGCTCTGCACGTGAATTTTCAATAGAAGTCACTTTAGGGTCCATTTTGATCACTTGAGAAATTGATTTTACACCAAAGGAAGGATCTAAAACCACTTCAAATTTTGATTAACTTTCAAATTAATTCATATTCCCTCCAAATTCCCATTCCTAATCCCATTCCAATTTTCACAAACCACACTCCAAACCATATTTGGATCCAAACCAAGATCATATCCTTACATTTCACCAACTTAGGGGCTGAGGGGTCGGGAGATGGAGCATCGCCTTCTAGGGACTTTTCAAAAGATAGAGTGAGCCTCTAGGGTAAGAGGGGTCACCAAGAAATAATGATACTTGAAATTTTTTCAACTTTCAAGATAAAAATCAAACACTTTGAACGACTGACAAAGTTAAAGCAGACCATGTCCTCGATTCTCGTAGGCAGATGTCTGCTTCTTAGAAAAGAGATTGAAAAAAAGATTCATTGGAGGTTCCCCAAGTACTCACACCGATAGTGGAACACCTTGACAAAGGCTCATGCTATTGGGTGTAGTTGAGACAGGGCGTTCCAAAGATTCTTTAACAACCCTTTGTCAAAGTCATTGAAAGGTAGCATGTACTTCAATTTGGAGAACAAGCATTCGTAGAATGAAATCAAACACCAGTCAAAGGAGTTGCATACTCTCTTGGAACTACCAATATGTGAGACTGCCTAGTTAGAAGATGGTCCCACATATGTGTAGACGCCTTCGAGAAGAGTAGCAAAATTGAAATGCGAGACCAACTACACTAATTACGCATCCACCCAATGGTACTGAGCAGCATCAACATGCATCACTAGACCCTAGGGCTCCTTTATAGCCATATCTTCCTAAATGTCATGAAAAAGATAATTTTGGTCATGAATTTAGGAATGGCTTGAAAAATTAATGTGATCTCTAACCTCTATATCATTAAGATCCCGACCATTCACCTCCTTAAAATAATAATAAGATAGTGTGTCATTTGTTCATTATGGGTGACTTCAACATGTTCTAGATCTAGAGGAGACGTAATAGGAGGAAGGGAATTTATATTCTAACCCCTGACAATGGGACTACCATTGTTCATCTCTTATTTGTACCTCTGACAGAATGAGAGCTAGAAAGTTCACTACCATCTTCAACAGAAACCTAACTAGACTAAGAGTTATCTTTAAGCACAATAAGATTTGAAATATGTTAATTAATCTATAAAGGATCAATGTTGGCATTCATGGGTTCATTATCCCATTAACAAAAGAAGCATCATCATTATCAGGTGTGTTTATTATGTTTATAGGTACATTCCTTGTGTTGGTCATAACTAAACTGATGAAAAGAGAACAATTAACTATAAACAAGAAAGAGTGAGACGATACCTAAAGGAGTTAAAAATGGATGTAATAACAAAAGGAACTTGACTCAGAAGGCGCAGTAAGTTAGGAAATGTACGACATAGAAAAAGGAATAAAATGAGTCTCACCAGTGCTCAAGAAAGAAATAAGAGTTTAAAGAAGAAAAGAAGTTTGTGGTTTGCACAAAAGAAAAGAGTTTCTAAAATGCTAAGTGACCCTTATATAGAAAAGTAAGACATGCTAATTAATAGTCGAGAATAAAATAAAATTGGAGACGAAAAACAACATTTAGATTTCACTTTGAAAATAAAACGATATTTGAGTGCACTTGAGCATCTTATGAAGATGCGTCACACCCTAGTCTAAAAACTTAAGGCCACATGTCAGAAAGATCTTACAAAATGTCTCAATGGTGAGACTAATGCACATATTTTCAAGGTTATTTGCGACATTTGTCAAACCTCCTCTGTTTCTCCAGGCAACGATCCTAGTACATATAGAACCTGACCTAGTTCCCTGAAAGACTTCTCGCTTCTATGCCACGAAAAGTCTTAGGAGCAACTATTCTAAGTCAACCAAATGTCCAATAAAGAAAAGTCTCTCATCTAATCTAGGTCTTGGACACTTCAACCACTCTAACTCACACATACCTCTTATTCTCTCAGTGACTTAAATGTTGGAGTATTAACTTTACATGTCCGCCCCTCTCTACCGCAACAAAATATTACTTCATCATTCCACCTATCTTTCCGAACTAAACAGAAATATTTTCTAAATATTTTATTGTTTTAATTTCATATTCATTTTATATTTTCTAAATATTTTATTGTTTTCACTAAAACATAAAAATATTAAATCTCTTATTGACATGTCACATATTTGGCGGAAGATATTTACACTAGTGTTCTACGTGGAGCTTTAAAAAATATGACTATGATATGAAGAATCAAACTTTGATGATCATTTTGCATAGCAATGTTTAGAGAATCTCACAGATGCAACCACAAAACTCAAAAACAATTTAAGTTTAATGCATTTTCTTATGTGCTTCTGAAACAATGTCACAAATACATAGGAAAATGCCCCATAAGTATTGTCCTTAAACCATTCATTCACAAAAAATAAACCTTCTTCACCAAGTAGCAGACTCTCACAATTCACAACCTTCTTCACCTTCCTCGTCAGTTTCCATTTCCACTTCCATATCCTCTTCTTCTTCAACCGAAGCTCCTAACGAGGAGGAGGAAGAATTCGTGTTGTTAGGTTGACAGGAAGTTGAAGAGGATAGCTGAATTGTCGGCGACTTGGTTCGTGTACTTCCGGCGAGCGAGTTCCGGTGGGTAGGTTTTGGATGGTTGTGGTCTCCTGTGTATGTCACAATAAACATGTCTGCTTCAGTATTGCTCCTTTCAACTTGCTTTCTCGCAGTACAACCTTTGGAACTGCTACATCTATAATAGTTCCTAATATTAATACAACAACAAAGTACTATGTCGTTAGTTTTCTTAAGAAACATTGATTATCATATTTTGAAATTTTGATGTATTTGTTTTTTAGTACCTTGGATATGGAGAACCTTTAATAGGTTTTTGTCCATATTTTCGCCATGCCCACAAATCTGCTGAGAGATTATCTGCGGTTACATGACACACCATTTTTCCTTGTTGACTTTTTCTAAAGAATACAAAGAAAATGATAAAAAAATGAAAGCAAATTTTTAATTATCTATAATAAGTAGTTGAGGCCGATATGAAATCGATTTAAAATATAAATTTATTTCAAAATAAAATAATTATAAAAATGACATAACAAAGAATGTGATTATTTAATTTGACGAGGATATTGGTATTCAACTAAATTTAAGAATATTGAAGTGCTCACGTAAAAAGAATGGATATAATATAAATGTATTATGTATGTATTATTTTTATTATGTCATGTTGGCCCTATGCATGTAAAAGATAAATTTTTAAGTAATGAATTAGAATACACAATTATTAGTGAAAATTGGAAAGGAAAAAAAATTATATACCTTTTTCTTGACCTAGGTATTTGAGGTTGGATGCTTTGTGGTACTTGAAATTCTTGTTTCATTGTTTGTAGTTGTTGGTTATTAAATTTGTTGAAGGTAGAGGGGGATGCTTCTTGAACAAAGTTAGGCCAAATGGAAGGGGAAGTAATAGGGTGAAGATGGTATTGTTGCTGTCCAATGCATTTGGCCATATGAGTAGGGGAATAGGGATTGATACCATGAGCACTAGTGGTAGTAGTGGTGGTGTTGGTGGGGTTAAAAGATGTGAATAATTGGTTTAGCTCTTGAATCTCATTGGTTATAGGTTGCACTATATTGGGAAAAGAAAATGCATCATATTCTAATTCTACCTTGAAATCAGAAGTGGAAGAAGATGGCATAGAACTATTGCTAGTAGTATTATTGGTAGATGATTGACAACTTCTAACAATGGCAAACAAATCCCAATCCTCATCCATTCTTATAAATGCAAAGAGAGATTTTTTTTTGGTGTGATGTTTTTGGTTATTGAAGCAAGATACTAATAAGGAGAAAAATGTTAGAGAAAAGATGGCGCTGACTTTTTTGGAGACAAAGTGAAGAGGATGAAGCAAGAAGAATGGTGGAGCATGAGTTGAGTTAATAATGATTTTTATAGTAGAAAGAAAATGGGAAAGTGGAATCATGTGGGCTAGGTTGGAGGATGTTGTGGATTGGAGAAGCTTTTAGAGGTTTCTATTTGGTCCTTTAAAAATGAGAAAATCACTTTGCCTTTTTCATTGACTTTGTGAAAATGTCAAAGTGGGGTCTAAAGTCTAGAGAATTGTGACGATGATTCTGATGCTCCTAGTTAGAAAAGTTCCTACGTTCATGGTACCGGTATATATGTTAAAATTTTATTCCATAAGTAAATTATTTTAAACTTTTTTTTAGACAAGTGAATGTTTTTGATGTTGAAAATAATATTATTACTATGTCTCCTATAATATAACTAGTATAATATTGATACATACAAAAAGTTATAGCGCTTGTCTCATGTGTTTTGTATTGGTGAAACGGTCTAACAAAATAGGTTTAATACACGATCAATTTAATACAAGATCAACTTAAAAAAACTCTCATGCACATATGAACTCTCTCTACAAGACCGCGTAGCAAAGTCATGCTACGAGCTTTACTTAAGAATATAATTATCAGAGTGGTAAAAGTCTATGTGTACTATTTGGTATCAGAGTAGAATGAATAATAAAGACTATTTATTGTATTTTAAATTGGCACTGAATCTTAAAATGACACCGTTGTTTTTATGAAATATATTGGTTTTGGGTATAAATTTAAAACATAATGTAATTTTGTGGGACCCATGTTAGAGTTTTAAGTAAGTAGTTTGAATATTTAGAAAATATAGTTAAGTGGTTTAAATATATTATATTAGATGAGACCCACTTATACCACCAACATGAGTAGTATGGATGTGGGTGCTCTAAGATGTACAATTCAATCCAACGGTCTGTCATAGTCCACGTCACACCTATAAGGAGTCGATTCAACCGTCAACTAAATATAAATTCAATTCTGTCACATGACATGTACAATTCATTCACTCTTTCAAATTACATTTCTTTAATCTCACTGACTTATACGTCAGAGTGCTAACTTTATCGGTACACCCCAACTTCGCCGTGTCAAAGACTTACACCGTCATATTGAAAAACTTCTACGACAACATAAATTCCACATCAAGCTTATCATATATTTTCTATTGCATCACCATAACAATTCTTGTCAACGGATCAAATCGCCGCTAATTTTCTCAATAGATAATGATATCTTTCAAATGAGTTCTCTTGGCTACTCATTGCAACACCGACCTGTGGGAAAAGTTGTCAATCTATCTGCTTGCAAGTACAATGTCTGTAACAGTCAAATGTTCACAATGATTATGATAATGACAATACAATGATGTGAAATCTTCATCAGTTAAGCAATGATCAAGATAATTTTTTTTGTGAGATCAAGATGTCAAAGCAAATATCTCTAAGGACAACGCCTAATGTTAAGCGGAGTTGAGCGGAATCCCTGATGATCTTTGGTCAAGAAATGTTATTATGTAGAATACCTGATGGTATATCGTCTAGCAATCTATATGATGGTGTCTATCAAGAAGCTCTATCAAGTATCATCAATTAAAAATAGTCAAGTCTCAAATAAAATACTAAGTCAATGATTAATCAAGTAAGGGACTTTGAAGTTTGTGAGAGAGAGGAAGTGTGAAAGTTCACCTAGTCTGTGTCGCGGTGATCAGAGTATTGTAAAGATATTAGAGAAACTCTTAAACTATTAAGGAAATGCACACACTAACCTATAATTATTGTAAACTTAGATCAATTTCACCATGGGGAAATTTAGGGTTATGTGTAAGATAACCGCTTATGGAAAAACCTACAATGTTAATGATCCTTATGACGCTCTTAACTTTCACCATGTTGTTGTGATTGCAAGTTTTATTATCAAGCCAATTAGAAAAAATAAACTTCTTCTAAATACAAAATTCATGAAAGCAAGTTGTTGTGTATTTTATTAGCTTGCAATCCGTGTGCTACTTCAAAGAAGTGAAAACCATGATGATCGTCTAAAAGCATATGTGGTACCTATGTGGTTGCTAAACTATAATTTTCAAGTTAAGTAGACTTATGAATGATTCACTACATGTTCATGTGAAAAAGGAGCAATTTAGTATGTTACCCTACGGAAGTTTGATCACCAATTTACAAATTAAAGTTGAGATATTTTTGGATAATGAAACTTCATGTTCAACTTATGGGCATATTGATGCAAAATCTCTAAGTCTGATCAAGGTTTGAGTTGGTGATGGGGGGCTTAAAGGATGTTCTGACTGAAGCATATGATAACAAGGATAATCAAAGACCGTCTTCTAAAGGAATGTTTATGCCCATTTTAGAAATATTCTAAGAGACTTTTTAGGTTGTTCAAGAGTTAGACCAAGGATAATGCGTTCATCAATAATTTGTAATTGTGATAGCAACAATTAGTCCTGTGTCTTATTTTTAATCACTTTCATTGTACTTTGAATACATTCTAGTTAAATTTATAATAAATATTTTACCTTCCTCCTTATTTAAAATTTATGATCTATGTGCTTGAATTTGTTTCTCTGTCTGTTTTGTGAAACCTTGTTTTGCAGGTGATATGCTTTTAAAATGGATAACTATTTTACTTTTGATGAATAAAACCTTTGTCTAATGATGAATACTGATTATGACAAGCCAAGCATAAGTAGTTAAAGATGAAAACCAAAGAATTAGAGTCTGTTGGACTTGACTATCTGATGATGGCAACCTAATAGAAGTTAACTCAAGCCTCATCTCAAGTAAACTACAACAAATGTCTATAAAAAGGAAATTATTTGGAAAAGTCTTAAATTAACAAAAAAACCATGTCTTAATCAGTTTGAGTGAAAACTATGTAGTGCATAAAAGGTGTTTTTGTAAAAGTGATTCGTTAAGTCACAAGCACACGAAAATATTTTTAGACTGATTTTTCTCAAAGAAATACTTTCAAAAATGTCTTTAATTCATACTAGAAGTGTTGGAAGTTGTTTGAAAAGATTTAGGCAAAGTTTTGTTTTTGCCAATTGATTGGCACTTTATCCCAATCAATTGGGTGATTTAAAAAATGTGTCTATATCGATTAGGACATTATCTTAATGGGCCAGAAATATTTTATTTCCACTTTTTAACTTGGTAACCAATTGTAAAGGAGTCAACCAATCAATTTGAACATGTTGCCAATCGATTGGTAAGTCTTAAAATGCATTTAAAATAATTTTCTTTTTTATCTAACCTCTAGCTTATAAATGGAGGCCCCTTCCCTCATTTCAAAACATCCAGAATCGAGTTTCATTTCATCTTTCTCTTTCTCTTTCTCTCCCTCTCTTTATACTTTCCTTTTACTTTCTCTCACTAATTTTATCCGAAGTACTTTTCGAGAATGTCCTTTTTGTGTGTGAGAATTTGTAATTCTAGAAGAGTAGATTTGTAAGTTCATCAAGGAAATTTTGTTTATAACTTGGTTAAACATTTGATCCAATTATAGATTATTTGTTTGGGTTAGAAGCTAAACCCGTAAAAGATTTGATTTGGGGATTGTGTAATCAAACCCTTGTTTAGGTTTGAAGGCCCATTGTTGCGGTGAAATTTGGATGTCAAGCTATTGATTAACTTGAATCTTAATTCATTTACAATCGGTCTTTGATTTATCCGAAGGAAAGGTTAAAGAAAGGAAAAACCTAAAGGGGAGAGATCTAAGGTTCGGGGGTTGGTTAAATTTAGGGAAGGTATTAGCACCCTAAACTTCCGTAGTACTCTACGGGAACCTTTTGTTTATTTTTTTATTTGTTTCATTTTTTGCTTTAAGGGTATGTACAAAGGATTAAGGGTTTAAAAGACCTAAGGGGTTAATTCTAAGTTTACTCGGCAAGACATCGCATCTTGTGCCTACATATCCTTACGGGAATGGAATCAGAGTAACTGTAGTTCCCCTCAAAAGGGAGGTTAGAGACTTCTTGACTGTGGTCAAGGTCTCAAGGGGAATAAACGCATCTTAAGGACACGCTTACATGGAGTCTTAAACTCCGATCTCTATGTTATAAATTGTTAAGTGCATTAGGGTTAGGTTAGGGATTCCGCGGCGGGAAACCCTAAAATGAGTGCGGCGACTCTTTGACCTAAAGCTAGGGGTAGTTTTGTAATTTTGTCCACGGCGAGACATTTGTGAAAAGTTAGGGTTTGTAAGGGTTTGAAGTTTTGAGGACTATTGGCGTGGCGGCCAAACGGCTAGACCTAATCCTTCGGAGGAATGCAATGGGACAAATTAACGATGCAAATGCGCGAATTTAAACCATACAAACAGCAGAAATTAAAGTGCGGAAAGGTAAACGCGATAATTTGTTCGCGAAGTTACAAATGAGAAACAGATACAATTATAATACAACTTGAATTGAAAAACACATTAAAATAACTAATAGCAACGTAACAAGCTGCACATTGAATACACAACGTTAGTAGACAGAGTCAGACAGTAATCAGACGAGTTATGAAACGGAAGTGCAAAAGTTATAGATATTCTTTGTTGTTTATTTGTGATATATAAAAAAGCTTTTGATTTAAGTTAAAAAAGAGGTTTTAATATTATTAAAAAACTTTTCAAAAATAGTCTTAATTTAATTATCTAACAAAAAGGTTTAATGTTATTATTATATATTTTTAAAAAAAACAGTTCTAGTTATTATTTTAAAAAAAAGATTTTAGTTATTATTTTAAATTTATCTAAAAAAAAGTTTTTCTTAAAAATAATAGATTTTCATATTAATTTGGAAAAGATGTTAATGTTATTTATTTTAAAAACAGATTTTTATATTATAACAAGTTTTAATAAATTAATGATAATAATAATAATA